TTTTTTTTTTTTTTTTTTAAATAATGGAATCTTCCTTACTGAGTGGACTTTTAGTCGGTGTAGGTTATAATTCTTACCTGTGACCTCAATACAAAGGGGCTGTGCTCTGGGTCTGATGCACATGTTTTGCTACAAAGCATCATTTATCTGTGTGATGGAGAGCCCATCTCCTTTTATGATGAAGATTCCCCTGGTATTCATTCTTTCATTAGATACATCCATGGGTGTGCCTCTGTTCTACCCTGTTGCTTGCTAATTGTCTTTAGAAAATTTCCAAATATTTAGTGATTGGTAAGTAGTTTTAATACCCATTGTTTGCTAAAGATTATTCCTATTTTGAACTTCAGGAAAATTAAAATCCTTGCACATTAACATTGTTTTGTCTGACATGCTGTGTTTGTATTCAATTGAATTTTTTTTTTTGCTTGTTTTGTTTATTTAAATAAATCTATATAAATTGGAAGTTAAGTGGAAGGAAAAAACTGTAGAAACTGCAGCATTAATGTGTGGAAAGCAGCTGGAGTCAGTGCTTATAAAGCCTTTAAACAAACTCTAAAACAGACCTAGGTTTCCTTAAAAACTTTCTTGGAGCTTCAGGTTGTGAACTATGCAAAAGGAGCCTTGAACAATCACTGACTGCTAACATTATACAGTACATGTACTGGGAAAAAAATATCTTTATAGTTTTTGTAAAATTATTTTCCAGAAAACAAAAAAAAAAACTTGCATCAGATTTTACAGAATTAAACACCTGAAATTTAACACCCCGTCTGCCCATAAGTTTGCACTTCTGATATCAGAACTTTTTTTCTCAGTGTTCCCCTATCTGCAGTTTTTTGCTGCACTGACCTATCATTCATCTTTACAAGAAGCAAATCTTTTCTCACTTTACCGCTAAGATGACAGACAGGTTTAGATGGACTTTATGTCTGTAGTTCTGCAAGGTCATGACCCCTGTAATAAAGAAAGTCAAGATGATTTGCTGCTGTTAGGTGAAACACTTAAAGTCTAATAAGATGAATCAGGTTTGAACACATCTAGCAAATGTGTTTTACAGTAGTTAAAACAAATCCATACTACTGAGCATTGTGTCAAAATGAAAAGCTTTCAGAAACTGATAAATGTGCAAGTCTTTCATTTCATTTGTATGTCTGGATTCTACTGAATTTTGCTTGCAGCCCAAAGTCAGCTAAATAAAAAAAGGTTGATTAAGCCCAAAAATCTGAGCTAAGGGTGAAAAAATCACAAAAGCAAAAATTTGTGTACATTTGGATGCAGCGAACTGTGTGAAAAGGTGCTGCTCTTTCTTCCTTTGAGCCTTTCTGAGGGATTAGTTCCCATGCATAAATGTGTGTATGCTTCAGCGAGCCAAAGAGCCAGTCACAACAAACAGAAAGCAATTTGTTATAACGGACCGACTGTCTTAAAACTTCCAGTTACCATATCCATGGCTCGTTAGCATCAAACACTACAGGGACTTTTAAAATTTTAACCAGGAGTCAGCAAATGCATTAGTCCTGTAATATACAAAACACAAACAAGGGTCATTTTCACTTTGTTTTACCTATTTTTTTTTGTTCTCTTAATTCACCTAATATTTCTGATTTCTAAAAACTATAACTGATTATAAAAAAATAAACCAATCTTGCAGAAACTTGAATCTTAAACAAAAAAAGAAATTTAGAAAAACTGTTTTGAGAATTTTGTTTTTAAATAAATTTCAGTTACAACATCATCTGCACTTAGTAAAGAGATAATTAAGTAAGTATTTTTTACACTCTAAATTGATACATATCTGCCTTTATGGTATGGTATCTCTCCGGACAGTCGTGGATTATCAGTTATAGTTCCTCCACAGCCTGATAAATTTCTAAAAGTAAAATATTAAATAGAAAAACAACACTTTTTTCAATGTCAGGTGATGTTTTAGCCCTTTAAAAATAAAACCATTCTGCCTTATGGATCTGTGTTTGGTCTCTGGTTATAAATCTGCAAAAACTTCCAATCTATTTTGAGACATAAAGGATAAAGATTCTTGCTCTGAAATGAACACATAAATTAAACATCTGTATATTGTAATAAAGTGGTCGACTTTTTATTAAGTCAGTGATTTTAAATTCGGTTTATGCATCACACCCAGATCATTAAAGCTTCGAAAAAGCTGGATGACGTCTGAACAGCAAACATCTGCCACATGCATGGACTGCACTGTGTCTCCACATCCCACCAGCTCCACAATAAGGGGAGCTAAAAAGGTTACGCCTGAGAAAGAGTACCATCAAAAAGGTCCTTTGATATTGCAAATTAACATTGATATTCATGTGGATAATTATTGTAATTCACGTCAAATACCAGCCATTAGTGCTGCAGTGTTAGGGAAAAAGAGGGTTTGGTTATTAGAAGCTACTTATCAGACAACTGTTGCTCACTGAAAGGCCCTGCTGCTTCTGACTAACATCAATATCCATCCTGCATTAAAACAGCCAGCTCAAACCCTCTGCAATCCCAATATTACAATGACTCTCATAATAAATCTGTGGCTATAGCATTTAGTAAAGTGCAGATATAAAAATGAAAATAAAAATGTAGATATTGTATGAACTATAAAACTGCTGTTTTTGTACTGTTGTTTGCAGTAGTATGTTCTAGCTGAAATGTTTTCCTTTTTTTATGTGTGAATGTTGTTTTTTTCCTTAATGTTTTTAACATGGTCAGAGCTTTTCCATCACTGGAACAGGATCATAATTAGTAACTGGCAGGAGTCAGGTTTCATCAGCATCACTGTCTAATCAGGACTGACAGGGAAGCAAAGGTTGCTAAAGATGATGGATGCCTTTCAGTTGTTAATTCCAGAAATTTTGCTTGATTAAAAAAAAAAAATCAGTTTATATGAAATTATGTTTTGGTCATTTTTTTACATTATTTCATGTTGTGTGAGGATTTGAAATGTAGTCAATATCAGCATGAATCTCATAATGATTTTGTGCTGTCAAGAAATATTTTTTTTTCATAGCAAAATTCTACATGTGCAACCTCAGAGATTCCCCAAAATAAACATGGTGTACACATGTTTACATTTGCTGTTGATTTTCTTTCACTAAAAATATATATGCACAAGTTCAAATATATACATGCAGCACATCACCACTGTTTAAAAAGAAAAAAAACAACAAGAAGAAATACAGCTTGGTATGTACTGGGAAGATGATAGTACATCAGTAAAGCTCTCAACACAAAAACAATTTTTGACAAAAATGAAAGCCCTGCTGCTACAAAATCATCACCCAATGAGGATGATTTGAAATTTACAGACAAATAATGATCAGATGAGACAGGTTAGTCCATTATGATGAGGCAAATATCTAGAGGCTTTCAAACGTACCAGCGCCGTATAAATTGTTACGTATGGTGAAGTCAGGTGCACGCTGAGGGGTTTGTTTCACTGCCAGTTATGAATTGGTCAAAAACAGATGTAAGAATTAAGGCAAAGGATTAAATCCAGGTATTTAAATCCAACTATAAACCAAAAAGCACAAATCAGCTCTTCTATTTCTAGCAGAAAGTTTCCATCTGAATTATTCTTTTTCTTATTTATAAAAGGTTTGCTGTTTCACAGCTACATGCAAATTAATGACTGTATGTCTATGTCATAAAGGAAATGCTTCAAAAATGTATTAAAAGCCCCCAAATTGATATGATATTACATAAACAGGTGATGACGATGAAATAGATTCAATAGAGGACGTAAAGTTCTATCTGAACAGTGGTGATATTAATCAGTCTGAGATTTGTGTGACAAAAGAAGGTGGAGGATGATGACACACAGATCATGTGTCGCTCCCACTTTGTTTACCTAAATGTCAGGCTGTAGGACAGCTGAGTTCATTTACCTCCCCATTAGCCCACGTAAACTTAGGCCTGTGAAGCAAACATGAACAGGTGAGTATCAGCTCCTTATTTCTGCATGTATAATCCTCTGACCTGCTTCTTTTCTGCCTAATTTTCTGCAGTGGCTGCTGTGTATTTGTCCTGTTTTTCCTCACCGGTGTCTCACTGAGTGTGGAAATGACTGGGTTATATGGCAGCTTTGCCTCCCCTGGATTCCCTCAGCCATATCCGGACAACCAGTACATGGAGTGGAACATAAGCGCCCCACATGGCCACCGGATCAAGCTCTACTTCACCCACTTCAGCTTGGAGCCCTCCAATCAGTGTGAATACGACCATGTCCAGGTGAGCCGTATCTAAACAGCTCCAGTTAGACATGCTGGAACATCACCAAAAGGCATCCAACCCTGTCAACACAGGTTTTGGTGGAAGGGAATGAAACCCTACGGTTCTGCGGTGAGGAGGAAAAGAACCACGAAAGCACCCCCAGGAACACCGTCATCATGTCAGCCGGGAACGTCATGTCAGTGGTCTTTAGGAGCGACTACTCTAACGAAGGCCGATTCACCGGCTTCCAAGCATTTTACACCTCAGAAGGTGATGTAAGAACATGACGTTTGTTTCCAGGAGGCATATAGGAGACAGCCACGATTAAATGTGTTAAGAGATTTATTTGGAAATTAATGGAATAGTTAGATCACCGTAGGTGCAGGCAGTTTATAAACTAAACATTTCTCATGTTGGAAACTGACAGAGTCAAAAGTTGTGTTGAAAGATGATTTAACAAATACAGGTGCTCATTCATTTACATTTTACCATCTTGTACATTTGTTTTCCTACAAAAGCAATTCAGAAAACAAATATGGTTTTAAAATTCAATTCAACATAGCCCCAATATGTAAATGGAAATATATATTTTATCAACTCTTTATAGTATAATCTGGAAGTGTGGTGTGTATTTGTATTTGCATGTACCCCCCTGACTTTAAGACGCTCAATAAAATTGCTCCTTTTGCAAGGCTTCTCAGAAAAACCCAAAAAGTCCATCTAAATTAATGAAAAGTCGTTTTGTCTAGTTAAAGATATAGTGGAGAAATTTCTTGAATTTTTTCACTTTAAAAAACAAAAATGCACATGTGCAACTCCTATTAAATGTGTATGAGAGCGTGCACAAGGAGAAATAGGCTTGTGCACGCTCTGTTTAAAAGTTGCTGTTTGCATCGCTCATAGAAGCTTACTTTCCAAAAGAAGATTTGCAATTTTTCCACTATGTCAGACTCACTACCACCGGTAAATGAAAATGGGGACCAGCATGTAGGACGGCCTTAGATAAACATATCACCAGAATGATTGACAATTAGGAGGACCACTTATTTTGATGATCCACCTGAAAAAAGAAAATCCTTCACTATACCTTTAAAGGTCTTATTGAGCTGGTTTTAAAACTTGACAAGCTTGATAAAAAAACATTTGAAATAAAACATGCTAAATTTGATAATCCCTTTATTTGCAAAAGCTTTGCTGGAATGGGTTTACATGGCATCTTACTGAGGCTTAGTTCATATTTTAAAGTTCTTTATAATCAAAGCATTTAAAATTTAAACATTAAAACATGATTAAAATATAAACCCTTAACTGCTACTTGAAAGCGTACAGACTCTCAATACAAAGCAAAAAGCAAAACAAAGGGAGCTTGTTCTACAGCAGATAGAGATATTCTGGAAATGCAGTCACCTTGGGTTTTGTATTTGTTTTTTTAAGACTACCAGAACTATTTGTGGTGGATTATGAGTGGAGAATAAACCATTTCACATATTGCTTGTTCGTAGAGATCATACACATAATAATTGAACCACTTAAAAAGGACACATTTGATTGTAAATGAGTTCTGATCACATGACTGATCTTTTAAAAATCATGTTGAAGTGAATATGTATGTCACCAGTTTAATTCGAGTTTGGTATCAGAGTGTTTCACAGGTTAAAGCTATCCGCAGAAAGCTTTCCAAAATTAAAAAGAAGAAGAACCCTGTCCATGCGGGGCCATGAAAAGTTAAGTCCAGATGTTTTAATGAATCCTTCAGTTAATAGGCAACCAGTGCAAGCACATTTACACCAGGGGTGTTTGGTGCAGTTAGGATTCTTGCTGCAGAGCTGTGGAACAGATGAGGCCAACAAGGGTATTATTTAGTTGATAGATTCAAGTCTGCTGCAGGACATCACCCAACTGATATCACTTAATTACATTAGCTGGTGTGAGAGAAATACAATCATTCTTAGTATGCCTCCTTTGCAAAAGCAGTGGTGGCTAATGAGGCTTAGCGTGATTCCTGCAAAATATTCACAGTTAAAAGACAGCACTCCCCAGGTTTATACACATGACATTAAGTCAGTCGAGGATCATGCATTTCAAGTGTGTTTGTAGATGCAAAGATACAAATGCACTGAGTAATGTTACACCAGCATCCTGTGTTGTTCTCTTCCAGATATCAATGAGTGCCTGTCAAAGGTAGATGGTGAGCGAGTATGTGACCATTTCTGCCACAATTACATCGGCGGCTATTACTGCACGTGCAAGCAGGGATACTTTCTCCATGACAACAAGAGATCCTGCACAGGTAAGAGCAACTCAAGCTGAAGCTCAAGAGCCATGTTCATTTAGGCGCAATCAAAGGAGCTCAGATGAGCACAATGAGGTGTGGTGTTAAAGAGCAAGGCATGAGGGTATGGCTGCACTAAGAAGGTCAATAGACACACGCTGAGCCTCTCAGTAGCAGACTCCTGTTTGAGTCAGCTGGTTAAAACAAGTCTGCAGGATTTTTATACTGACACTGTAGTAAGATTTTAACCCAGATAAAATACATCTACTAGTAGGATCCATTTGTTTTCTGACTTTAATTATGTGGGGTGCTGTTCATGTAAGATTTTGGATTTCATAATGTATTGGGTGGTAATTTTAGGCTTAAAAGAAATACTGATGCATGAAGTTGCTGATCTCTGGCAGCTGGTGCACGGTGAGGTTAATCACACACGATTCCTCAGGGAGAAGCAACTTCAAAATGGCTATAAAAATTGATACCTGTGCGCAGCACTTACAGCGCACCAGCACCAGGTAATTAATCACAATTACTAGCTGATGTGCCTTAAATTATTATACTTTGCCAGAGGAAAAATGGTGGCACAACAAATCATGCAATGAATAGACAAAAATGATTATCTGCCTACAGATTGTACTAATTATATAAAATTACAGCAACTCAGCCTCTTTGCAGAATCTCATTTGTTTTTTTGTCCATAGCTTCATCTGCACGCTTTACCAGGGCAATAACGCAGATCAAAATGAATCTCATCATTTATGCAGCCGGTGGAGAGAGTTTTTTTTTTTTTCTTGCTTAAAAACGCATAATAACTAAGCGGTTGATGGAAAAGCAAATCTGAAGAAGTGAATATCATGCACAGAGGTTTGGATACTTGGTGTCTAAACCCTCTGGAAAGTTATAGCAAGTCTTTCAAATATTTTTTGCTTTTTTTAATTTCATATTGTCAACAGTGCCCTGCAAAGGTCAACTACTTACATCAGCATCTGGAGTACTGACCAGTCCTTCTTACCCACAACCCTACCCACCCATGAGCCACTGTGACCACACTATCAGTCTGCCAGAGGGCTCCAGAATCATCCTTGACTTCTTGGAACCCTTTGATATAGAGGGACATCCTGATGTCCCCTGTCCATATGATATGTTAAAGGTCAGTCTTGCACGTGTTTATTTATACAAGGCAATGAATAAGGAATGTATTCCTCCTCACGGCTTTAAAGATGGAGTGTCACTGAGGTCTCTTCCAGCTGATTTACTTTATGCATTTTCTTGCATATTTGAATTTAGCACTGAATGGCATCAGTCAGCGATTTATTGATATAACAATAAGCTTTTTTGTGTGTGTTTGTTTTGGTTGTCTAATTTCTTTAGATTTCAACAACTGGACAGGAGTACGGACCGTTCTGTGGCTCAATACCACCAGACTCCATAGATACTGGAAGTTATCAAGTTCATGTAGCATTCAGGTCTGACTCTAGTGGGAAAAACAAGGGATGGAAGATCAAATACACAAGTACCAAAGCTAAAACACCTATATAACATCAAATCTGGAAGCTTATCAAGTGAGAGAATATTTCCTTTTATAAGTTTCTTATTTGTTAAACCTTGTGATTGATAATTAGACCGTTTGATGTTTTTTCACAATAAATGGAGAGTGTCCTACAAATGCATTCAACCGTTTTTTATGATATTGTGATGTTAAAACCACACACTTCAATGTTTTTCTTCTGATTTCGATGTGATAGTCCAACACAAGTAAAAAGAATGGAAAATAAGAAGTTAAACTTCTACCATCGGTTGTCATGCAATTGGATCAAATGCTGTTAAATTAGATAGCCCTAAAAAAAAACCTTCAAAAGATATATGTGTTAAAAAGGAGGCCTCCTGAGCTAGTGTTTTCTATAAAGGACATAAAACATTATCCACCAGAGCACAATTAAATTCATTAAGTCTAAAACATGTAGAGTACATCCTGCATCCTTATCAGGTCAACATCAATAAAGGAATCAATCTGATCCAATGTAATTCTGGAGGAGCATGAAAGTCTCATGAGAAGGAAAAAGAAACCTTACCAAAAGCAGGCTGTAAGAATTTAAATTTAAACTTTCATAAACTTTATAGAGGAGAAAAGGAAGCACTGATTAGAAGAGCCTGGAATGTCACTTTCTGGTCCCAATGAAAAACAGAATTGTGACTCAGCTGTTTAGATGGAATAGACCTAAATTTGATTTGATATATAGCGGCACATGATGCGCAGCATATAGAAGCTTATTAGGTATTTGTTAGTGATATTTACCAAAAAAGAATGACTAAAGTTTTAGTCTTTACAAGCTGACATACTCCATCAGTCTTATAGCTGTAATTGCTTCCAAAAAGGTGGTTCTGCAAAGGCTAGATTCCTGGGGACTGAATAATAGTATAGCAGCCTGATTTTATTATCCAATAGGGTTGCAAAATCTGTGAAAATGCAGTAAGGGAACTTGTTGGATTGGCATTTTATTCCACCCTTCCAACATTATGAAATTATTTTAGTCTTTTTCTCAAATCTGAGTTAAATTAGACCCTTCATTAGGTTTATCATTTAACCCTATTGCCAAAAACTTGAAACTCACATCTGTAGCTAAACAAATACCACTTTTTGTTGGTCAAGTGACTAACTATGAAAATGTTAAGGTTACATCTGCTCAGTACTGAAAAACTTTAATGACATTATTCAGTTTACTCACCTTCATGATTCCTGTTTTGAACCAAGCCATTAACACATTTCCTTCACCTTTTTTACAAAGTGTAGACAGTGTGACATATGATAGCGCAGTGCAGCTGGCTGCATCATGTCTTCGCCAAACTGTTCAGCCAAGGTGCAGCCGGTTTCACAGGAATTACGCACACCATGAATCCCACTAAGTAGCTGTTGAAGAACCCCAGCAGCAGTAAGCTGAGAGCTCGTATGCACATTATGACTTGACTCATGCAGGAGCATAACACACAGGTTGACAAAAAAAATAGGAGGTCAATGCAGAGCTGACAAGAAACTGGAAATACATTTTATTTACCATGAAAACATCAGTATACAGACATTACACCATAACGCTTTGGTGTATTCTAAAATAAAATGACAAAAAACAATCAAGCTTCAGACCTATTGATAAAAAACAACAGGCTGTAACACGCCGAGGCTCAAATGTTTTATCAAAGACATAACACTCACTGATTACAACACAGTAATGAATGGAGCACCTCTTTCTTTATAACAAATGTTTGAGTCCATTGTTTTTACTCAGTGTTACAGAGACGGAGGAGGAAACGGGCCGCAGGAAATCCATCTCGTGTTCATGTCACGCGGAGATGCACACAGTCTTACATCACAAATCCATCACATCAGGCTTGTATATAAGACAGACTCAAATCATTCAGAGAACACATAGAAGATGCAAATCTGCTAGTTTTACCGGTTTCTGACAGTGTTGTTCAAGTCTGCTCAGGCGATTGGCTCCGTTTGACATTTATCTAATATGAAAAAAATCTATTTCTGCAATATCTATTCTATTCTATGAAAACTAAACATTTTTATAAGAGTTTTTATGTAGCAAATTGCCACTGATTGATAAAAAATGTCAATATGTTGCACGATTATCCTAAGAAACTAAATGATGTGAAGTTTTGCTTTAATAAGGGCTGCTCCTGCTAATCCAATGTCATATCTCTGTTAAAACGTTTTACCTATTGAAACATGAAGCACATCTTCAAGTATTGATGGATGTGCTAATATCTACAAAGGACACCTTTGACCAATTTGGACGAATTCACCCTTAAAAATGGAATGTGAACGTTAATAATAGTTAAACAAATGGCAACCAAGTAAGAAGCTACACTGACCTAGAGAACAGAGAGTTTAATTGACTTTGAGAAAAAATAAATAAAACTCACCAGTTAAGGATTTATCCAGTCTAACTCAATATAGAAAAATGAACACAGAGGCCAGAGCACATAAAATAAAAAATAGTTTCTAGAATTTTCCTTTAATAGAAACCATCATTTTCTGCAAGAGTGCAAAAACTAAAACATATTTAAATATAAGACAAGCATGGATAGCAAAATGAATTCAGGCCAATGTAATACATTATGTAACTTGCTTAGATTTGATAAGGTAAATTTAAGTTGATTTTTTACCTCAGATAACGACAGTATTCTTTACCAAAACAGTGTGCAGCAACCATAATCAGCTATCAAAATCCCTGTTTTTAAGCCAAACATGTTATGTATACACTTTCCCCCCCAATGTTAGAGGAGCTGGTTGTTAAAGACGTTACAATAACGGTTCAATTTTAATTGCCTAAGCATGCAAAAGACACTGAAATGCTTAGAGTAAAAGAAAAACAAAAAATGAATGACTAAAAGTCTTGTCTCTCATGTAATTTAAGAGCTAGTGTGGAGAAACTGGTCAAATCAGTTTTCTTTATAACCTTGCAGGAACCCATTACAGTGCCATCTAGTGGAAAACATGAAGATCAGAAAGGAAAAAAAAAATAAGAAAATAAATTTTTTTGGTTCCAGTATTGAGAGCTTCAATTGCCTGAATCCAGAAAAATATTTATCAAACATATATGTGTATTACACTTAGATAAAAACTATAATAAGTAAAGTATTAAATCCATTTAATTATAGCTTGGCACGTTGCATGCTTTAATCATATATAATTGTTTTAGTATTTAGTAGTATAGTATATATATAGTATTTTTCTAATTATTTCATAGCCTTTTTGGCCAGAGTCCTTGATCAAATCAAATACACCCTGATGTTAGATTGGTTAACCCCCCGCAGATCAATCATTTTAATTACAGGTATTAGTCCCGCCCACTCACTTTAGCGAGTAATGCTCACATGTAAAGATTCTTTCACCATGTGCCATTACACCACAACTTGAAATAACTAAAATACTTCAACAATTACACACAGTTTTAACAAATCATTTCACTTTAGAGGATTTAAACCTTTAATTATGAATGTAATAAAATATACATATTTGCATAATTATATCTAACATTTATCTGTGCATGCATACATTACCAATTTTTGTTACAATTTAAAATATGAAAATGAATGCTTTAAAGTATTTACTGGATTGTGGCAAATTTGGCTCTCGATACTTGACAGGAATTGGGTGATGTTTGTTAACTTCCAAAAGAAAAAAAAAAAAAGCCGTACCAGTCTGGGGTTACATCATGCTGGGTGATGGTTTGTTAATATTCCAAAGGATGTGATTCTCCATCATCCAGCCCAACACCCATCCAAATAAAAACACCAAAAAAATCCTAACACATTTGTGCAAAAAAAGCCAAAATTGTTCCGCAGGCATAAACCACTTCAGTGCTTTGCAGATTTCTCAACAAAGACACAGAAATCCACAGTTTTTAACATTCATGTATTCTAGTAGTAAAAAACAGCAAAACAGAGCAAAGCCCATCCTCTTGATCCTGAGGCAGGTTAGTGTGAATCCTTATCAGTCCCTGCTCAGGTACATCCTCGTCTAGCTGCTTCCTTGGGTGGCCATTCCTGCACCCTCCCTCTGTCTGCTGCCATCCTGCTGTGTGCTGCTAATAGACTGCATGGCCTGAACCTGCTGCAGGCGCTTGGACAGTTCAGCTTGGCAGGCCTGCATCAGCATGGATGTCCTCTCTGCATCCCAGCCCAGCACCTGCTGCATGGCCTCCAGCCCTCTGCTCACCACCACCTATACGCACACAGAAGCAAACACTGCATTAAACTTTACTACGACCAATGATTTAACAGGTCTGTGCATGCGTTCATGAAAAATATTAAAGCAAAGGTATCATCGGTAGAGCTGAAGTGCATAGTAATGAAAATGCAAGATAATGATAAATTGATTTCAAGTTAGGCCAAAGGAGCCCTGATCAACAGCTCAGGTTGACAGGATAACTACCAGTCACATAATCCATAATCCTGTCCTTAAACAAGGAGCAGTAAGTAGAAATCCTTTTATAAAGAAAGCTGTTCATCTCAAAGCGGTGGTGGGAGCATCATGAGGTGGAGACGCCGTTCCTAAATAAGGACAGTACAACTAGACACAGAGGAGGGATACAATTCAAAGCAGGGTAATAGTACCAAGACACACCAGGCAGGTTCTACTGAATTTCTGTTTTGAGATAAATTTTTAAGTGAATTGAAGTTTACAAATGACTGTATTAGGAAGTATGTGCTGCTTTGTGTTTTGGTTTCTCAAATTAAAAGCCAGAGAAAAAAAAAAGACACTGAAATCTTTGGTTGTTTTATCTCAACATGTTAAAAAGTTTAACAGTGATGAATATCTGGACTCTTATCATTTTAGACGCCTAGTTAACAATAATAGTAATATATTTGGCCTGCTGACAATTCAAACCCCTAGTGATTAGTCATTTATGTTTCACATTAGTGCAAACAAATAAAGTTTCTAAATAGCTTAAAATTAAATGTCAAACTGCTTTACATACAGAGATAAATATAACTGGTGGGTGGAGCATGTGTGAAGTTAAGGGAGGATGTAGAAACAAATCTCATAGGATAGTTTTCCCCAGTAAGAACAAAGCAAGATAAACAACATACTTGTTGTTTTTGGATTTACGAGTTCTAGATAGGTCTGGATTTTCTGATGCACCCATCATAAATGTGCAATAGACTCTAATAATTTTTTTTTCTTTTTTTATTTGCAAGATTTCCTCCATAAAAAAAAGGAGTAGTGAGAACACAACACCTGTAAATCCTCGGTGGACAGTCTCGTCTCTGGACTGGTTTTGCCTTTAAGGACCATCAGCGTCCTGGACATGAACCCAGATGCAGAATCCACTTCCATCCCGTCGGGTGAATCCACATCTCCAACAGCTGGCAAATTAAACACTTTTAATCTTTTTTATTAGGAACATTTTTTCTATCAGAAGCAGATTTCAGACCTAGGTGAAAGATGAGGGATTATTGAGCAGCAGCAATGATTCCATCTAGTGACCACAGGGTATAAGTGCAACCTAAGCACTGTGATCAAAGGGAAGAGACAGCATTTTATTAAGGAAATGTTATCTGGGCAATAATTTCTTAAATTCACCTTAAAATTAATTGCTTTTCTTCTTATTGTGGTTTTGTCTTTCAAGAAAATATTTATCCCATGACAGTTTTTGAAATAAGAAGGAAGGATGTAATGGAAGGAGCGAGGAAAGAAAGAAAGGACAGAAAGATCGGCAAAACTTTTGACAGTGGATAAGGAGATTAAGTCTAGAAATCACATTTTATTTTGTTATTTCTCCAGATCTATTAATTGTGCTGAAAACTAAGAAGGTTCTGTTCAGCATCTTTACCTCAAATGAAATGGAATTTTTTTATTATGTTAGAAAGCAAAAATATTTCAAACTCCATTGATTTTCATTTATAATTTCTACATCATTTCCACAGTAGAGTAAAAAAGTAAGCACTCAAAATCTGCCATACCTTCCTGTCTGTCCTCTTTCTCCACAGCTTTGAGGTACAGCTGGAGCAGCTGTTTGGACTGCCTCTCCTCCTCTTTGCGATCCAGAACCCTCTGCAGCGTCTCCTGAAGTTCTATGGTCTTCTTCTCTTGGAACCCCAAAGCAGAGGCTAATTCAGAGCATGGCGCATCGACTAAAGACTGGGAGAGAAAAGTCAAGTTTCTCAAAATTACACATATATATATTTTTTTTTCTTTAACAAATCAATGAAATGTTGACATTATTATTCAATGCAACCACTTAAAATGGGAAAAAACAACTATTTCATGTGAAGTTCTTTTTATACAGCCTCATTTCTGATCTGCAGGACAGGAATCTGGAGTGAAATCCTGTCCGTACCTGTAGTTCTCCCTCAGACATAAGAATGATACTGGTCAGGTCTTGCTTCAGCTGCAGCGCCAGATTCCACCACGGTGGTGTAACAGCGGAGGAGTCGACAGCATCTACTTCCAGAATCAAAGACTCTCTTGCCATCCAAGCCGTGCCACCATCAACTGCATGAAGAGACAAAACATGAGGATATCTCTGTCAGAATAACAGGAATCCATCCATTCAGGCTTAAGATAAACGATCCTGCAAGGCTTACTTGTTCGAGCTGGAGCCCATGTCTCTTTGTCATGCAGCAACATGAACTTTGTGTTTAAAGGTAAACACAAAAAGTAGGCTTGATCCTCGACTATGGTTCCATCAGTCTCAAGAACGACAGTGACAGGGTCAGTTGGGTTCACTCCAAGAAGCTCACATCCTGTTGGAAGAAGAGCCGCTTCAAGTTTACAGATGTACGGTGAACTCAAAAACCTTTTTGCTGAAGAAAGCTCTGAAACTACCAAGTCATACATCACTTAAAGAATCACAAAAAAAAAACAATGACTTAGACTTCTATTGTCATTTTTTATACACAAAGTGTATAAAAAACAAAATTTCCTTTAGTATAGCTTTCTAGACTGTAAATCAACATTTCCATTCGATAAAGTGCGGCAATGATCAAATGTAATATAATGGTTTTTTTTTATCCAAGATGGCCGTGCCTGAAGGCAGCGGCTTGCTACAGTTCCAAACAACTACGCTGAATAGAATGCCACAAATTAGGCATCGATCCTGCATCACTGCAAAAATAATTAGGAATCTGTACACGGCTGACTAAGAGCATTTATGTTCCTTAAGATTTAACTCTTCATCCCACTTTTCAGTGGGCCTTTCTGAGATCTAAATATCTGCAGCTCCTCCAGAGCTACCATTGACGTCTTGCTGCTCTCTGATAAATTATACCTTTGCCAAACCCTGACCATCAGGAGAATGGCCAGGTCTTCATTGGGTACTGTTTTGGATTTTAGACAAAGGTTTTAACAATGGCCCCTGAGATATCCAATGTTTTTAAAAGGTAACGCAGCTTTAACAAAGCTCAGCTTTAGAGGAGAGTGATCTAATACTGCAGACTGACTGTGCATCTTCTAGAAGAACTGGACTTGATTCAAGGGTAACTGAATAAAAGGGGTGTTTGTGTGTGTTTTTATTCACAGTATGAGGGAGACTCTTTCCAGAATGGTTTGTTTTTGGAAACAATGCATTAAAGGTCATTCTTTCTAGTGATGCAACGTGCTTTAGTAATGCTGTAGGGCGAAACCTGCCAGCAGACCTGGCCTTTTATACTAAGCTTGTTCTTAAGTATTTGCATGCTGACTTAACCTGCTTGGGAAGGTGTAAGAAATGGCAGCGATTTAAGCAAGGAATCTATGTTGTCATAATATGCACTGTCAAACAATGGCACAATTCAAGCTATTTTGTTTTGAAAAAGAGTAAAATGGTAACAGCGGGGATAAACCGAAACAGAGCAGAAATTGGTCCAATGTTTCTGATGGGCAGGAGCATTTGATTCATGGTGTCCTTGATTTTACAGAACTTTGGCAATCTAGGAATGAAAGCAGACAGAGGACTGACTTTTTAAGTTTAAGCCTCGCAGGTTAGAACACGACTGTGATGAATTGTTTCTGCACACAGCCTGTGTGATCATCAGTGAGACTTATGTTGCTAAGCAGTAAAAGAAA